GTTTTCAGTACACATAAGGATACAAATACATTTTATTCCTGGCTTCCACTATAGGCACCCAAACCACTTCACCTCGCGTTTTGTATGACAATATCCAGCGTCTTCTAAATCCCTACTGGAAAGCACAGATTCAATGCTTTCAGATGTAGACGGCCTTTGTGTATGCAGTGCTCACTGTGCATGCGCATTAGGTTCCCGGCTTCAGTCGGAGGAGGCGAAACAGTCAGCACCAAGGGACCTCAGCAGTGGAATCAAGCAAGTGAAAATAACAATTTCATGGCTAGGCAGAGAGGTGCACTTTAGTGTTAGAAATACTGTTTTGTATTCCAAACACTAAAGTGGTCCTTTAAGAATTGAAGTTACAAAAGCGGATATAGATAAGTGCTTCAAAATGAGCTGTTAAACTATTGACATTAAAGCATGGACAAAAGCAAACATTAAGCACATCTGCACTCTGCTTCTGGGATTTAGTAAATACTGGGATTTAATACGTGGGAGGGGGGGGATATAGTACAGAAGGGGTACTGTACTTTTTAAAAACAAACCTATGTTTCTATGAAACTTTAAGGGTTTTTGCAGCCCACCTAAACTTTAACCTTGTTTATGTGGCCCATGCTAGCCTTTGAAATTTTGACATGCTTGTTGTACAGCATATTAATCTCAATGTGTTATACTGTGTAGCTCTGAAAAACTAATAAAATAAGATATAAAAAAAATAAAAAAATAGACATTTCCCAGCTACTTTATTTCTTTCAATTTTTAATATACCAGCCACATTTGTTGTGCTAGGACAATATCTGTACATTGCCAAAAATGTACTTTAAAAAGAAAAAAAAAAATCCATAAATTAAAACTAGGGAAACTATCATTATTCTATGAGTGGTGTGTTAAAGCGGCACTGTCATGTCGAACTTACCTTTCCTTAATCTCTTCCTCTTCTCCCCCTCTCTCAGGATCTGTTCTTCTTTTCTTCCTGTCTTCTTTAAAATCATAAGACAAAGTAGGGACTCTTTGCCTTATGGAGGATTCCTCCGCTTGTCCAGCTCTGACCAGCGGAGGAGCAAAGTGTGCTTCATTTCCGCTGGTCACAGCAATTTTCCCTTGATCCTTACCTTTCCTCTGTGTTCCCACGATGCTTCCTGTCCTTTTCCACAAAACTGCCGAATTGCGTAAAATGCAACTACTACCTGTTTTATTTTAAATTCGACGGTTATGATGGTTTTTTTATTTGGCCTTTTTTGGGGCTGAAAAATGAAGATTTGAGAAAAAAAGAAGACGTCGAATGGTAAGTTTCATTTTATTTTACAGGTTAGTTATTTTATTCCCCCCTCACTATCTTTTAGGGTGAGGGGGGTAGGTAGGGACTTTTTATTTGGGGGTGGGGGTGGGTGACTAGGGGCTTGGGGGCCCCTAGTCCCCTTGGGGGTGGGGGGGTGGGGAATGACGTTGATTATCTTTATGGTCCCCACCCGACCACCTGGAAGCCCCCCCGGCCATGTGTGAGTGAGGTCCTTGCGAGGACCCCACAATCACATGGCCGGGTAGGCTGCCTCCTGCATTACCAGCAGGGGGGCTGTCTGTAAATAGGTCTCCCCCCTTATTTTATTTTAAGGCCCCCACCCATCGTTTAGGGGTGGGGGCCAATAGTTTGTTTGTTTACAGTGAGCAGCCACAGGCTGCTCACTGTTTAGTGGACATGCCCCTACTCGCGGTATAGCGAGTAGGGGCATGTGGGAGATTTTACTCTCCCTTATGATATTATCGGGGTCATATTGACCCCCATAGAGTGAGGGGAGACTTAGGGGGCTTATGAAGTGGCGGGGAGCACTGCTCCCTGCCGCTTCTATCTTAACATATTACAAGGAGGGAGCTGCGTGCCGGTAGCTCCCTCCTTGTAATAAAGTGGCGAACAAACGAACACTGATACACAGTGTTAGTTTGTTCGTCTGACATTTCTATTCATTCATTGTGTTTCACATTCATTATACAGGGAGGCAAACCCCATATGTTTTGGGGGTGAGGTTGAGGTTGGCTAAGTCTTATTGGAAAAGTTTGTAAACTAAAGTTTCTGGTAAAGTCATTCATCCCTGTCTGAGATTTAAACTAGAAAATTATTTTAAACAAGTACTACTCTTGATACTGCAGCTATTGTGAACCGATTAGATGACTAAACATTGATGTGTACATTTTGTTACTTCTAGTCCTCTAACACGAGTGCGCTGTCATTCACAGAGTGGCGCTCAAACTATTCTCCGACTAGATTACAGGAATAATGATACAGAACGGGCATACAACATTCTGCATAACCTCATAACTAAAGCTGGGTACATTGTGAAGTCATTTTGTGGTCCTGGTCACAGAAGCGCTTCAAAGACAAGTGCATTTTTTTTTAATTTCCATTATACACATCCAACTTTAAGTGCATTCAAAGGGGAGAGAAAGTTTCACTTCCTAGAGAAGTAACTGCTCAGCTTTAATTTTAAATGCCCATTTTAACTGTGATAAGTAGTAAACCAAATGTTTTTTTATGCAAAGTGTAAATGCAATTTAATAAAACATGTAAACCATGAACAATATGAAAGTAAAATCTGTAGCAAAATGAAGTGCTACCAAAATGATTACATGAAAAATTAAGAGTCAGGCGTAACATGCTGATATACAAGTATTTTCACACTGCCACAATCACCTATCCATTTGACATCAGTTTCACTGAGGTGAGCAGATGTCTAGCAACTCATCTCTTATCTGTCTCAAGTAATGAAATGGTGAAATATTCATCCACCGATCAGTTTCAGATAAAGCAGTTACAGGATTTCCTTGCTATAAATTGAGTGCTAAATGGGACATTCAAAAATAACCCAATTATGCATATAGACTTTTAAACAACAAACTGGAAATCTGAATAATGGGTGTTATTGTAAAGAGACAACTCCAATTTTGGCCCGTGTTTGTGACTAAGTGGCTACTAAAAAAGACTGGACATTCCCCATTTGCAATACCTTGGGTTGTCTAATATTACAAATGGTATGCCATCATGGGGGTAAATGTAGTGTGTGTGTTTACTTTGCTTTTGAGACTTTGCTTAGCCACAAACACTGGCCAAAATTGGCTTTCAAAATAGTTTTTTTGCATTTTTCACACACAAATATGAACACTAACTTTGGCCAGTGTTTGTGACTAAGTGGCTACTTAAAAAGACTGGACATACCCCATTTCCAATACCTTGGGTTGTCTACCATTGCAAATGGAATGCCATCATGGGGGTAATTCTCATTCCTGGGCTACCATACGGTCTCAAAGGCAACGTAACCAATCTGACAAATTTCAATGTGAAAAAACCTGAAACACAAGCTTTATATTTGACTAACTTTTTAAAACCCCATAAAACCTGTACGTGAGAAGTACTGTTATACTCAGGAGACTTCGCTGAACACATATTAGTGTTTCAAAACAGTAAAACGTATCACAATTATATCGTCCTTGTAAGTGCCATTTGTGTGTAAAGAATGCAAAAAAAAAAAATTCACTTTCTCTGACAAGATCATCATTGTAATTCATTTTATTGTTTAGAAATACTAATAATTTGTGCTCATTGAAGTCTTCCGAGTAAAACAGTACCCCCATGTACAGGTTTTATGGTGTCTTGGAAAGTTACAGGGTTAAATATATAATGCTAGCAAATTAAATTCCCTGGCCTTTTGGCCTGGGTTGTCAGGCAGGTCGCGCAAATTGTAATTAATAAAATAACCTAATTACATAACTTACACACACACATATACATACACACATATATATATATATATACATATACACACACACACACACATATATATATATATATATACATATACACACACACACACATATATATATATATATATACATATACACACACACACACATATATATATATATACATATACACACACACACATATATATATATATACATATACACACACACACACATATATATATATATACATATACACACACACACACATATATATACACACACACACACACACACACACACATATATATATACACACACACATAAATAGAGAGGGCTTGCACTCCTGGTGTAATCCTGTGGTGCCCGGTGCTGGTCTGGCAAGGATCATGTAGACATAGCAGAAATGACCGCACTCCAAGGACTTTATAGAGATTTTCAAATAAAATTTAGCTTTTATTCAATCCATTTAAAAAGTCAACGTTTCAGCTCCCACATGGAGCTTTCATCAGGACAAAACAACCTGTTATGTCCTGATGAAAGCTCCATGTGGGAGCTGAAACGTTGACTTTTTAAATGGATTGAATAAAAGCTAAATTTTATTTGAAAATCTCTATAAAGTCTTTGGAGTGCGGTCATTTCTGCTATGTCTATACATAATATATTAATATATATATATATATATATATACATATATACATATATACACATATACACATATACATATACATATACATATACACACACACACAGTATTTTTCGCTCCATAAAACGCACTTTTTTCACCCTCAAAAGTGAGGG